ATGTTTGACTGGCAATATACAGTATATTGGTGCTTGCTGAGCCCGTGAACTACTTTTGTAAAAACCAATAGCTGAGAGAATTTAGAAAAACAAGACCAATCAATAAAAGTTATTGATGTCTACTCTTGTGTCTACTTCTGGGGCCTTTTTCATGACACATTACACTAAATCCAATACTGCTAGGTATATTGCTGAGCATCTGAAAGGGCAAAGTGGGTAAAATCTTGAAGGGATAATGACAAATGTCTTAAACACGCTTTTGTGAAGACAGATAAAAAATCAAGCCTTGAAAATATACCCTAGGTTCTAGATTTCGGTATTGCCAGCTCTATTTTGATTTCTATATAACCCACATCTGATTCAGCAATACCAACTCTAGCGACCACTGGCATACTGGGGGCGTGTTTGGCCAAATTTTGCCTGGAGTATCCACATTTGTTTCGTACGTTACAGCTTTGTCCCACCTGGAGCTGCCTTTCCTGCCTTGAGCTGACATCATCTTGTGCAGACAAAACAAAGAACAAAGTAAAATGACTGACGCTGAGTTTGAAGTTTGAACGAAGAATACCTTGCAATCAGAAATTAGTGCCACAACACAATTTAGCACCTTTCTGCTTTAAAAACTGATTTTTGGTGTAACCATTGCGCAGTACTTTTAGTGGAATCGGACATAGCTGTCAAACTTGGCACACAGCAAGGACATGTATTTTTTGTTTATATCTTCAGGAGCAAATGTTTTTTGATAAGCAATAAAATACAAAAATATATGGCATACCTTTTTCTTTTAAAAATATAATACTTATTTTTCAATTAAAGGGATAACAACCGTTCATTTTGGCCAAAAAATTGATCTTCCTAGGGTAAAGGACAATTTCCCATACTTACCAATGGTTAATGAACTCATTCTCACATTCAAAATCAGTCCCCGTTTTTTTTTTTTTTTCCTAAAAAGTTTGGCTTTTTGTAATAATCTCTTAAGAGTGTAGCCATCTATGGAAGTCACATGATGTGATAGCAAGAACAAATTCCAAAACAATTGCGTTAACTGCCATTTTTGTGAAAAAATAGAATTTATCATATTTCTATGAGTTGTTTCCAATGTATTTATTTTGAAATGTGGATATCTTATGAACAGTTTTTATCCCTTTAACATTTAAATACAGTAAAGAAAAATAAAATAAAGCAAAATTAAATGTTTTACGTTTCATTTTGGACTAATGACATTCAACTGCAGATTCACTTCAGAGCAGTTCCTCTGATTGAAGGATACTCAAAATTGATGCTGTTCTTCAGGGGCACTGTAAAGCCAACACATTAAAAGGGATAGTGAGCAAGCTAGCTCACTAGGGTATGAAAATACCAATGTGTGACTGGAAAAATTCATTAAAAATTTTATATTTTCAAATCAAATTTATCGAGGCTATAGTATTTTCAAACCTCAAACTGTAATTTGGTTTTTAGTTTGCAGGGGCGAATCCAGGATTATTTGAAGGGGGAGATACAAACCCAACCCTCCCCCCTTCTCTTCCCAATGTGGTGTTCGGGGCCTAATGAAGGGCCCCAAAATTCTTTGGTATTTTAGAGGGCCAACGGTGCCATTTGACTACGGTATGTTTAGAACTATGATTCAGATAATCAAAATTCTTACTTCAAGACGGGAACAGTGGTGTGATTTTTTCAAAAATCAAAGAGGGGGTCGGGACCCCCCTGACACTCCCCCCACCCCCCTTAATCCGCCACTGGCTTGAGAATGAAATGAGTTTATGTTTAAAATACACAACCATGTCAAAGAAAACGACAGATGATGGCTACTCTATGTCCAGACACAAAGTGTCTATCCATAAAATAAAAGATATATGTAAAATCCACATTATTTATGACTAAGGCACTGGTAATTGAAAAACTGATTAACCTTTGCAAAATCTAAACAGATATATATGAACTAAAAACATTATAATCATTCAATTACAAGTTGACATTTTATTTATTTTGAAGTTTAAACTTCTACAGCTGATTCATTCATTTTACCTTAAGCCTGGCCAAGGTGGCCCAGGCTTTGAACCTGTCTCCTCTTGTTTGTATTGCTTACAAGTTCCTCTTTTACAATTTTTAAAACAGCCAAAAAGGGCTTGCTAAATGGTGCAGGAATATATAGGATCTGAAACAGTAAGAAAAATGCATAAAATATACACAGATATAAAAAAGCAAAGAAATGTAGCCAGCCAAGGCCCCTGATCACCAAACACTGGAGGATCTTTCTCATAACAACTTTATCCAATTTTTTTTCAATTTGTATCAGAACGTAGTGATTTAGATTCCTTTAGGGAAGTTTTGCATTTTGTAAATGAATGGACTTCTGACGAACTATCATTACATGATAAAGATTGTGCTAATCAAGGCTTTTCCCAGAATTGGGGTACAGGTCATCAAAATTTGCCATGTGTAATTTCCTTCAAAATTTCAGGGTGTCCAACTTTTCCAAGTGCTGTGAGCGGAGGGGGGGGGATAAATAAAACGAAAAAAAATTTAAATAATAAATTTCAAGGGGGAGGGAGGGTAAAAATAATCAATAACAAGCTCCTGCTGATGCTCTTCTGAAAATGAACTCCCTTGAACAAATATGAAAATTGCCTTCTTGTCTCACTCAGATCGCGAATGATCTCCGTCTGGAAAAGCCCATGTGCTAATATAAACAGGCTCTCATATGTGTTTAAAAAAGGCACAAGACAATGGTCTGTACCTCCAAATTTACAGTTCCATTACTCATTTCCTTCTTAATTGATATCAGAAATATGTTACCAAGAAGATTAACTCTCAATAAAAATGTCAATATCATTAGAAGACAGTTAAATGGCAATAAATATTCTGTCACACTGTAGCTGTAAATAATGGATTTTTTGTCATTTTTTTCTCTAGGTTTTAACCTTAAAATGATGACTAGTTTCTTTAGCATAAGATCAGCCCACATTTTTTCTTTTCAAAAAGGCAAAGAAAAGGTGGCGTGTAACCTTCATGCTCTACTGATCAACTGCAGTCCTGATGGAGCTTTTGATAATAATGCAGAATTTTCTTCATTCCATTTTTGAACCTGTGCTCACTGATATTAATATCAATACCCTTTTTACTATGTGGTTTTTATGACTAAGTAATTCTTTAACTTAGAAATTTAATTCATGGAATATAATAATGGATTTGTGTTTTATCTAAAAAATAAAAATAATAAAACATTGGTACAGCATACTATATACTATCTAAAAAAAATAAAACATTGGCACAATATACTCAATGAATGATACGTTCATCAAAACAGAATATTCTTGCTCTGATCAATAATGGAAGGCCCATTGGAGGAAATTTTTTTACTGATTATAGAACAATGCAAATTTCTAGATAACTCCCTCAATCATCCATCAAGATGTTTCAGTATATAACTTGCCTTCATATAGATCTAAAAATTAAAGAGCAATTGAAAAATTTGAAAACTAATTATTTCACCCAACTGCCTTGAATTAATTCAAAGACAAATGGATCATAGCACAATTTCTTAACAATTGTTTTTATAAAACATTCAACATGGCTAATGGGAGAATGTCACAGGTATGATAATTTCCACTGTACATAATTAAAACAAGGCATTCAAAGGAAACTGGTGAAGAACATTTTTTTTTTTTTTTAATTTTGACATTAATAAATAAATCAAATATCTAGGATACCAATGCTGATCAAATACATTCTATTATCCAGCAATAACTGTTGGGCATGAAAACATCTCGTGCCAGCCACTTGGAATACAATTTATAATGAAAAAGATTTTTTCAGCCTGTTTAATCATCAATATGTTTATAATTTGATTTCTCACCAATAATCTCTCATAGGATTACACCTGAGTCACTATAGCATGAAAATTCATGTGTTAGCACTCCTATTGACGCTTCTGAAATATACAGACTATGCTGACTGCGGTTACTGATGATTGAAAACCTTGCATCATGACCTGAGTAGATTTGACCTGGTTTTCATCTGTTTTTACAGGGTGTATGATTTTATGATGGTCAAACTGGTAGAGAGCCAGATGGACATTAGCAAAGTTACAGATCTGTTGATAGGAAAACAGAGTGGCTTCACAAGAATGTGTGAGATGATAGGTAAACATAAAAATTTGAGAACTGCTGCACGGCAGTTAGTTCGGCAACTGGTCCTCATTTCCCACTTTTTGTGGCCATTGCTTTCATGTGTTAGCACAGTCAGTATATATCATAACAGTCATAACAGGAGTGTTTACGCATGAATTTTCGAGCTAGAGTCACTATTGCTATCCAATGCTGCAAGTGATTCCACAAGGTAAATTCTATTTAGAAAAACCTCACCAAAGGTGATGAAGTAGCTCACAACTGACTTATCATGTATCACATTATCCAAAACGTGTTTCACGTGTAGTAAAGTTTATATTTAAAGGAAGCAAAGTAATCAGATAAAGAAAAACAGCACGAGAGAGACAGATTTAGTAAAACTCCTTCATACATTTCAATATCCCTTCATTTTGAACGTCACTTGACTATTTTCTTTAAGTTGAACCTAATGTTTCCACTGAATATGACTGTATGTTATTAAAATTTTCAATCTGATGTTATCACTAGCGAAATATCACTATTTATATAATAGTCAACTGACTACTAGTAGGTGTCTAATCTACGTGGGCATCAACAAAACCTTAACAACAGCAGGTGGGGAAATCTCAACTGAATTAGTAATCATTCTCCCTTCATTACAACTGAGGAGTAACAAGCAGGTATTTAAATGATACTTATAACAAACTTACCCGTTTTTGTTACGGATTTACAAGCATTTTGACAAAGAGGAACTTCTTTCAAACTTTTAGCTTTGAAACGCACCACTGAGCAGCTGTGAAATGACTAGTAATAAAAGGTGACGCTGTTACACAAGACAAGCCAATGTTTTTCCGCGATGCTCCTGTTGCCCCCTCTAGTGGTGGGGGCATTTACACTTGAAGGAAGAGAAATACGGACTGGGACCAAGGGAATAGCTCCAACTGTCCGAGGGGTTGGGATTTGGTAATAGCAGATGTAACTTTTATTTTTTTTGCTCTATTTTTTGTTTTTTGCAACCAACAATTAAAAGCACGAATTAGAACGCAACAGTAATATGTGGAATTTGGAAACTTGCAGATTTCACACGTGACAGTGCCAAAAGGAGGTTCCATCAGCACAGGCTTCAAACAACTGCGCATGTGCGAAAAGTGCGCTGTTTGAAATAAACAAGTTGGTGAAATTGACAAAGACCGTCTGGTTGATTTTATTTCATTAGCTCTCTGGTGTCTTTTTCAAAATTTATATTAGAAATGTTCTATTGATTTTATGTTGTAAAAAGTAAATCCGTCGGAATTCCTTAGAAAAACATTTATTTTACCTTCATTTTAAGGGGATTCCCATTGTATTTATAGTGTTATATGTGGCCCCAATGGGGATTTTCACACCTCCCCTACTCTTGATTAATAAAATTCTTCACCTGGAGGATNGTTTGTCCGACTCCGACCGAATACGTATATATTTCTTACACGTCTTGTTTATACTTGTCGAACAAAATTCAGCTGAAATGATGTGTTTTCATTTTTTAGATATTAGTGCTTTTAAAACGATATGTACTATATACAATCATGCTTTTCTTTATTTTTTTCTAGAGCATAAAAAGCAGTCGTCCAATCATTGAGAATATTTATTGACATTTACTGATACGGTACCTGTGCAATGACAGACTTGCTGGTTGATGTCCACGAAGACCTTCCCCTACCTCCTGATACAGTCAGTGTCCACTTGATAGAAGGTACATACCAGTACTGGCACTACCTGTGTGATGGCGTGGATGACAGGGTTTGTGGTATAGATACATGTATGTTGTTTTCAGTTACATGTAAACAACTTGAAATTATATATATGTAGTGTCAGCATGTTTGGCTGTTATTGTAGCAAATATCTGAGTTGTTTGTACATTGTTGCTTAACGATAACTAGCCTTGTTGATTATCATGGGATAAAATGTTTAAATATCTATTAGTAGTTAAGGTATGTTGTTTTCCCACAATTGTGATAAACGTACGTGTGCTAGCAATGATATGTTAATATGGAAGGTAGTTTTTTATATTAGTACAGGGTATCATACAAAATTTAAAGCATAACTTTTACATTTTTCAGGGTTGGGGATGCGGCTACAGAACGCTGCAGACATTGTGTTCTTGGATTCTCCTTCATGAAAAAAAGCCATCCAAAAGGCCTGTACCCAGCATTCCTGAACTCCAGGAGGCACTAGTTAAAATGCAAGACAAACAGAAGACTTTTCTTGGTTCTAGAGACTGGATTGGAAGCTTTGAAGTGTCATTATGTTTGGACTATTTTTATGATGTAAATGATGAGATCATTTAAGTTCAAGTTATTTTCAAAATTCAAGATTAATTTGATTAAAGTTAGTATATTGCAAAACTATTTGGAAGTTAGTGAATTGATAAATTTAGTCAATTTGTGATTGAAGCTGTAAATAAAGAGCATGGAATAATGATTAATTTAGTTATTCTAATCATTGCTTAACTGAACCATAACTATTTTGAATATTCCCTTGCTGTAAGAAGATCCATGCATGCCCCTTTAGTGTAAACAGAAGGCTTTATCTGATGTTCGTTTTTTATCGTTTTCCCTTTCTAGGTACCTGGAAAAATTGTGCACTTGGAGAGTGGAGCAGACCTGCCAAGTTGTGTAGATCAACTGGTGGACCATTTTACTACCACCAAAGCACCTGTTATGATGGGTAAAATAAATTTTAAATTTCATTTTATCTGAAAGGTACTTGAGATATTATTGTGATAATGAATAGTACTAGACTTTTCTCCCATTAAGTAATCAGTGAATGTTTTTTTTTTTTTTTTGGTGAAGTTTTCATTTATCACTCATTAGCATTTTCAGTGGCTTTTATTTCCCATGGAACTGAATCACTTGCTAGTTTTTCAGTGCCCATAATACATAATGTAAGAGGGTATTTTAAAGCAATACCAGCATGTCTGTTTTTTTTTTTTTTTTTTTTCCATACAAATGCGCTTACTATAGCTGGTGTCACAATACCTGTATACAGTATTGCCTCTCTGATCCCCTAGTTGAGACTTGTTTTAAGTGTCAAGCATTCAAAATATTCAGTAAATTTGTTTGAATTGAATGTTCTTATATGGTTTTGTATGTGCCTCTGTTGCAATATTGCTTTTGGGTGTTCACTTGTTTTGCAGCCTTGTGTGTCTTAGTCTCTGTTGAATTATTTGATGGTATTTAGACACAAGTAAGTTGTACAATTGTCAACTACAGCCAACTGGTTTTGTTTTGAAGGTGGAGACAGTGACAACTCTTCCAAGGGTGTGCTTGGAATCTGTAAAACGACCAATTCAACATATTTACTCATATTGGTAAGTTGTTTGCTTTCATAGATAATTATTATACCTATTTAATGGTAAAAAAAGCTGGACTTATGTTCTTTCTTTGTTTTTTTACCTCTAAGCTTTTAAAAAGTGTTGATTTGTATACCAAAAAAGGGTGAGAGAGAAGCAGTTGCACTTTTATTTCAATTTCTTGAACTACAACATGAAAATAGAATTGGCAAAACAGATAATAAATGTAAATAATAGATGTTTCGTAGGAAAATATTTCTGTAGCATGTTGCAACAAATGATGCTTTGAAATTTTACTGGAGATAAAACTGCAAGTTGATTTAAAGGGATATTTTTATTACGTGTAGAATGGAATCTGTTTGTTGAATTATGTTCCTAGTTATAGGAGTAAAGTTGTATTTTTCACAGGATCCTCACTGCAGCAAAAGAGGTACAGATAAGGAGGAACTCCAGAGAGACGGTTGGATTAAGTGGAGACCATTAGAAAGCTTTGTGATGAATTCTTTTTATAACCTCTGTCTACCTCAGTACAAGGCAAGACCCCCATAAATATCATTTTGAGATGTGTGATCAACTAAGAAAGCTGACACTGAGACGTGTCCATAAGGAAAAGGAGCTCTTATTTCCTTCAGAATGAAGTAAGATATATCATGGTGAAGTAATCCATCTACTAAGATGAGAACCTTTAAAAATCACATAAGTGAGTCTGGTTTGTTTTTCAAGATGAGCTCATATGCTGCATTTTGTTAGATGTCAAACTTTATGAAGTTGGTCTTTTGACAGCTTTTGCTTATTTATTGTTCTTACACATTTTAAGATAAGAAGTGTACATTTTTCATACCTACAACTTCACATTATCACTCTTCTATGCAGAAGACATCCTTTCAATTTTTTATGTAACATCTGGACGCTCTCTATTTCTTCCTTTTTTCACATAATTTATTTTTGCATTATTTGAAATATTGACAGTGAGAGCACTATATTAACAATATCATGAATTTTACTCCAATTTCTTCAGGACATTGAAGTGCAATATAACTGTTGGTACTTAGGCATCAGTTTTCTTATTAAAGCTTTGTAGAAGTTGCCAAGAACAATGGCCAGAGTCTGGGCTGACTTCTAAGCTGTAATTGATGTTTGACATTTTTAAACTATTTTTGATTTCCCTTGGGTGAATGAACTCAAGGAGGCTCAATATTACAGTGTTATTATCTAAGAACAAGGTGATTGTTTTGCCATAAAATAAATACTAACTCTTGGAGATTTTTCAAGCTACCCTCCATGTATTGAGCAGGGGTGAGGCTCTCAGGCGGCGGTTTTCTATTGCCGAGAGATAGGTTGAACTCGCCAATTTGTACTGATCCTGTACCAGCATCACTGCCATCCCCCTTAAATCTCTGGTGGAACATATCAAAGTCACGCACATTGCTGTAGCGTTTGGTGCTGATGCTTCCAGATGAGAAGGGATCAAGGGTACCCTCACTTGACTATCCCATTCCTTGAGTATCCTTCTCTGGGAACCTGAGCTTCAGTAGGCTTGCTGCTGCTGCAGTTGTGCTGTTGAAACTGCGAATGAACTTGGGCAGTTACACATGACTGTTTCAAAACAAGGCACCAGCTTAGTTTGAGTATCATTACGAGTGTTTGCAGCACTGGCAAAATACGGATGCCCAGTTTCAGCCTTAATGTTACATCCGAGTGCTGAGCTTCCTGTCTGGTTAAGATGGATTCCATCCCTCTGGAACATATTCCTTCTGCTGCTGTTCCACATATAACACACATTATCTAAGGTGTCACAGAATTCACAGATACAATTCTTTGTTGTCATTGCTTTTTTGTTGAAATCCCAGCTGTCCCACCTGGGAAGTATACTGCTGACTATAATCCTGGTGTCCTTGTACTTCCTACGCATAGTAAAGACAAGTTCTTGCATATAATCATTGGCTCCTTCTGAAGTTTGTTTCTGTGTTCAAAACAAATACTACAGTTGCTCACAATTTCCTCTATTTGCTTGTTCATGCCAGGCCAAACACTAGCTCTCTAACTTGCGGTTTGCATTTGACTATGCCAGCGTGTGAGCTATGTACTGTATAATTCTAAGTGTTTCTGCTCTCAATTCATTGGTTATTACTGTCTGTTCTCCTTGATATACAATGCCATTGTATGTAGACATTTCATCTCTGAAATAACCAATATGATGCAGCAGTTGGCAACTCTGACTTCTTGTCTGGTCATCCCTCACTGATAACTTGTTTCAAGATTTGAAGATTGGCATCTTTCCATGTTGCTTATACAATGTTTTCATACTTCACATTCAAACCTGTTGTATGAGTATCTGTATAGAAAATCATCAATTCATCATCAACTAAATTTTCCACATTTCCACTTAAAGGTAACCTGCTGAAATAATCAGCTACCCTGCATGATAATTTACACACCAAATATGTGGCAGCTGGGCAGACTTTTGGCAGTGTGAGTCTTTTCAGGTAAACCTTTGATTTAGCATTTAGGGTGTCATCATTGCCAACCATTTTGCAGAGTATTGTGGCTCTAGCATTGTCAGTCAGTTTAAAATGTGGCTGATTGTACATTAAACAGGAGAATGATTAACATCTTCAAAGCCACCTGGATCCCATGATTCTCCAAGTTGTCTAAATATCAGTTGATGTTTTCAGGGCAGTGTTTGACATTCGTTTGAAATAGTACAGGCCAATTTGGCCAGTGTGCTCTGAAAGTTACTGGCCAAACCGAAAATGCACAAGCCAGACTTTGGCCAGCTTTATTACGAAGTTACTGGCCAAATATTCAAAGTGCAAGCCATGTGGTAATGACTCATGATGGAGATGTTATCATATGCAAAATAAAGAAAAAAATTTTAAAACCTTTTTTAAACCTAGAACTGTGTTTATTCTTTAGTCTACAGATTTTGCACATTCTAATCTAAATTAAACATAAACTATATGCATATTTATTTATCCCACTTTACCTAGAGATACTTTGATAAGATTTTTAATAAAATTTTCTGTACTTATATTTCTAAAATTTTCTGAACTTGTACTCCATGAACATAATTTGTTTAATGAAATTTATATTTTGTATCTTTAAGTTGCATCATCACACCAAGAAATATTCATACAATAGATGCAAGGATTTAAGCTTCATGCTCTTTACTATATATTTGTACATAAATATATATTCTTTGGGGGGAATCGGCCGGGGGGAAATTGTCCTGATACCGATGAAGAGATAAAAGTCTGTATAAAGATCAATTTTGTCTTAAAAACTGCTCCACATCCTTCTCAGTCATTTCATTGTCTTCATCTGAATCACTATAACAGTCATCAAACCCCTCATCACTGTCACTGCATCCCTNTAGCGTGCGCTAGGTAATTCAAGTTCTCTTACCCTACACACGTTGCACGTCGCACGCATTTAACCCCCTCCCCCCCTTTTTTCTTTTTTTGTTCCACTCAGGAAAAAAATCAGAAAACGTCAAAAACATGCGTTGGGTCAAAGAGCTCAGACTATTAGTTCGTTTCTGCTTTGATTTTGTTTACTTAGATCTACCACTTGAAGTTGAAGCCGATTTTGCGACGCTCTCACTCTCACATTTTTAAAAACTTCTCCATGCAGCTTGATGATCCACGTGCATCACGTTTTCTCCCGGAAGCGTCAACTGCGCAAAATCGCAAGACGTAAGTTCTCTACTTCTATGGTGAAACGAAACAGACAGCATTTCCTATACTTCGTCAAAATCTGGCGCGCAAACGAAGGCTAGATGCTTTCAAAAACGACAGCGAGACTGTGAATACGTCATTACGGAATTATCCAACTTCAACCAATCACGATTATGAGAGTGAAAACGAGGTTAGCAGTAAGGGTAATCCCATGAACTTCCTTGTAAATTTTGGCATATGAGTCAGACTTAAATTGAGTCTATATTTTGCCGATAAACTTAATACAGTAAGTTGACATAAATCGCCAAAATGGCGACTTGCACCATAATTTTCACTCGCCAGATTTAATTTTAACTCGCATTGGCGAGTGCGAGTGTCAAACGCTGCAGGGGGTTGCTTTTTCTTTTTCCTTTTCCTTTGAAACCACTGGTGCATTCTTCCCATGAGGAGACATAGAACTCCAGAAGTTTGCTCCTATAGAGATGTTGCACAAAGTAGAATATATTTTGGGAGTTTCCATTCACCCCTCATTGCTGCTGTAAATAGACAAGCTTTGTTGTCTTCTTGGTTGGCTCCTCTGGCCACTGGTTATGGCAAGCCAAAGGGGAAATAATTGCAGAACATGTTTATCACAGCCCAGAACCAATAAATAGTATTCAGAAATATGATTTCAATGCCAAAAATGATATCTATACATATATCAGGAAGTATTTTTATACTTCAGAAATGATTTCATCTTCAGAAATATCCTACATCATAGATAAGAAACATTTATCATTCATAAGAACTGAAGTTCATGTTGCAGAAAAAAAAAACATATCAGAATATTTTAGAACATGTTGCAGAAAAAAAATCACATCAGAATATTTTAGAACATGCCAGGAGACCACGTGACCAAGCCGGTGGCGTCATTGACATGTGACCAAGCATGGCAAACGAATTCGACGGTCTGTTGACAGAATTGCGGAATAACGCCACGTTCCTGGATGTAGGGGGATTGTCAATAAACTTCTGATTCTGGTAACAAACCTTTTGGCGATATCATGTCTCGCAGGCGACAAACACGTTATCCTGACAATGAAATTGACTTTCTGATGTCGCTACCTCGGTTTGCTGGTGAAGCTGATGTGCAAAGGAATACAGTGGACTTGATTACAGCTGAATAGATCTAGGCCTATTCACATTGATGACAGCGTGAGAACAGATGATTTAACTGTTTTACTTGATTTATTACTTTATCACATTCTGGCTTTTCGAGAGCATTTTCAGGAAAGGGCTTCTTACTTAGAAAGCCCTGGTTCTAATACTGTCACTGACCATGTCCATGCTGACGACACTGGCACGGAGGACACTAGACACAGTTTATCTTGCACTAGGCCAACTGAATCAGTGCCTGGCCGTCCAGTAATCGACATTGACCCTCGTCAAGTTGAATGTATGAGAGAAATGGGGTTCAAATGGAGGTCCATAGCTAAAATTATGAGTATAAGTAAAAGAACTGTCATGAAGGTTTTTTTGATAATTTCAATGTCGAATACAGCTGTGTGTCTGACGAAGAGCTGGACAATATATTGAGATGTATAATGGAAGTAAGTGAACGATCAGGAGAAACTCTTATGATTGGGGCCTTAAGAACCCGAGGTAAGTTCCCTGTCTTTGGTCTACCCCTATATTAAGCCCATGATAATAGGTCCTGGCTATAAAACAGTATTATTGGAAGATACTAAGATGAAATGAACTTGAATGGTAACTGCTAGTAGCCTAGCTGTTGAAACCCTACTGTAGAAACATTGTAAATTCTGATATTGACTCAAGGTTTAAGTAGGCCCACCTGAATTAAAATTTATTTTCCACTAAACCAAACAAAACTAAGCATAACTTATTTTTCTTTTGCAGGTATCAGAATACAGAGGAGAAGAGTGCGTGAATCTCTCAAGAGGATCGATCCAGTGGGGAGGGCTCTTAGCAGGGTATGAAATTCGTGAAAATTTGAAGCCGGACAGCAGGGCTGGCAACTTTGAATAGTAGCCAGCCCTGACCAAAAGTAGCCAGTCCTGAATTTTTTTTTTGAAAATTGCCTAATTAAATCAATTGCAGGCAAGAATGATATTAAAACAAAGACTCTTAGTCTCAAGGTGAATTTATTCAAGTATAGATTCTTCACTGTCAGCATCTGAAACATTATGCTCTGAACCCAAATCGGAAAAGTCTGATTCACTGTGACTGTCATAATCAGAGTCTAGGTTTGGATCCTCGGGTTTCTGGACATCTGGTGCAGCAGCATCTGCCTCTGCCTTTAAGTATCTCATTTCATCTGCAGCAGGCCTTCTGCGATGACCTCTGCTGACAGACCTCGGGAATAAAGGCCGCCGTCTTTTCTGGGTGTTCCAGCAATGTATGGCAGGGGTTGGGTCATATTCTGCTATCTCTGCAGGTCAGGAGTGCTGTCAGAGTGGAAGCCCTCAGTTTGTTTCTCAACTGGGTCTTAATGATTTTTAGTTGAGAGAAACCTCTCTCACATTCTGAGGTCCCTGCCGGAAGTGAAAGAATCAAATCCATGACCTTCAAGATGTTAGCATACTTTGGATGATACAGACTATTGATCGTCTCCCAAGACAAGGTGTGCACTTTGTGACTGAAAATAAATATGCATTACCTTTAATTGTTTTCATGTTATATTTCAACATAATGGAATGCAGTTTTATCTATTTAATTGATATTTGAATGTCAGATCTTATTTATTTGATTTTAAATTTATATTTAAATTATTTAAAATTGAAAACACATTGTTGAGAGAATTATGGTTATTGTTACAGTTAAGTATCCTTTCTAACTGAATTTTTTATACTAATTTAGTTTTGAAGTTTGGTTCCAAGTTTCACCATTTACTATCTATCTCTATTTGCTCATAATGATGTACATACTTTTCATAGAGGTCATGTTTCAAAGAGGTCCATTCTGCATCCATGACAGCCAAGTCGACACTTTGCTGCAGATGGTTATTAAAGTGATCTACCACTTGTGCCAGCATGTCATTACCAAAATCTGTGAAATAGATAAAATCAGAACAAAAATATTAGTATACTTAAGACACTTATGTTACTCATGAAAAATGTCAATAAACCTTTTCTAAAAATATTTGAGGCAGTACTGTTCTTTAGGTGAATTTCTTAGATTATTTTTATAAGATTTGCAATAGTAACTTAGCAGAATTTACAACAGAAATGAACTGTTAATGCTGACCTGGAGCATCTTCAAATGTGGGAGGCCAAGACTGTAAATTGGCTATACGGGTGCAACTGAGTAGACCCTTGTCAATGTCAGCAAATTGTTTATCCAAAGATGACACCAAATTATCCAGAACTTTCCTCTTTTGGGCTTCATAAGCTGCAGATTGCCCCTGTAGTTGTTCCCCTTGATACTTATCACGCACAGTCAGGGCAGCTTGTAGTCTCCTCATGTTCAGGCCAGGACTGAAAATACAAAGTTAATATCCCCACTAGTGCAAAACTGAATCAACAAGTCACTACATTTGTCTAACAAACTACAAGCAGGCACACACAATTTGCAGTGACCTGTACTTTAATTGTAAGCTTTCATCCAGAAGAAGCAGAAATGATAACATAAAGGAATAGTTTTTTATACAACACTATTAAATTTGCTGACCTGGTATGAAGGTTGA